TACAGCACGTGGGGAGGCTCTTTGGAGGGCTCTGATCCCAGCTTGTGACACCATGTCTTCTCCAGGAAGCCTCCATCGTGCTGGTGGGTCCCCTGGCCATCCCCATCCTAAGGTCTTGCTGCTTCCACAAAGAGCTTGAATGGAAGAAAAAAGGAAGAAGGGAGCAAACATCCCGACCCGGCAGCTGGTGGAAGATGCCAGGTCCCACCTCTGCCTTCACCACCCACCCAAGGCAGGACCTGCCATGGTCACTGGGCCACTGCGGCAACTTCATTTCAGTTTTACTGCGATAGCGCTGATCACAGCGCATCAGCCCTTGTTTTTATTACTTTTGCTCCCGTCTCCGTGTGCTGTCAAGGCTTGCGGTTTTCTGGCAAACAAGCCTGGACTGTAATAATTTCTGGCCCCTCGTGGGAAGTTGTAACGACAACGCAGTGAAATATAAACTGGCAGAAAATGGAGTATTTCCTTCTGCCGTTGCGAGCTGCAGCAGGCAGGCTCAAATGGAGTTTTTCTGTTGGCTTTCCCTCCGCTGCTTTTGTTTTTTCCCCTCTCCGCCGAAGGGCATGGTCACCCTCCTCCAGCCACCGAGAGGGAAACGGGCTGGGCTGATGAAATGGCACATTAAATTCGTGGTCGGCAAAATCGCAACTCCAGGAGCTTCGGAAGGAGGCAGCACTGGGAAACATAAACGTTGTTTGTCTCTTGGTCAAAAGGGTGCGTTTCTAAGAGCTGCGGTGTGCTCGTGACAGTGTGGGTGGCAGCCCCGTTGCTGCTGGGTGAGCCCATCTGCGGAGGTCCCTGGGAGAGGTGGGGAGAAGCAGGGAGGTCTGCAGGCAGCAGGGACATCTTGAGTTGGGTGGAGGATCAGCCTGGGTTGGGATGTGAAAGCACAGAGAGTAGGCGGTAGAGAACACCCTGGGGAAGAGGGTATTGTCCCCAGGGTCTGTATCAAGAGGGCTTGGTGGCCCACATCCAGAGCTGTTCAGAGGTCATCTCATGATCTGGGATGGATGACCCATGTCTCAAGAAGCTCAGGATCTTCTGTCCAAGGACAAAGCCCACCTTGCAAGGGACAGAGCTTTCTCAGGAGCTGCTCAGAGGTGACAGCGTGGGCACCCGTGGGCAGTAGGGATTCCTGCCCATCTCCCCAACCTCTTCACCCCTGCTCAATGCATCTTGGCTGGCAGCGCACCCGTTAAACCCAGCCTGCTCCAGCACCTGGGCAGTTTCTTGCATGGATCAGTCACGCTGAGCCTGTACCCAGCCTTGTTTTCTACTCATCAGGAACAGAATTAGAGAGAGATGGATGTGATGGATGTGGGCCACATGGCTGGGAGGCACAAGAACCTCAGACGTGTGGTGAGGGCCACGTTGGGGGTGGGTCCTCCCAGGGCGAACTGGGGCTGCGTTTAGAGCATGCAGGGGCTCCCTTGGGAAGTTGATGGAACCTGAGCGGGGCGCTTTGTGTCAAATCCCCATAGCCTTGTGGCTGTTCCTCACCCAGGTTTGAGGCTGGTTAATCTCATCCGTTGAGCACTCCCAGATCTCTGCCATCACTGTAGCACGGGGGGGTGTTGTCGTAGGCGTTATTCAGTCTCTATCCCAGCCTCTGAGTTCATTTCAGTGGACTTCCTTGCTGGTGCCACCATCCCCTTATCCACTAGCAGATTAGCACAGGTTGAATTTCCCATGCGAGTGCTCCACAGACTGTCTCCTTGTATTTATTTTGCTCAGGCTGCTTTTCCCTGGCCTTGACAGTGTAATTTGTACAGATCTGTGCTCAGTTTTCCAAACTCTCAAACGAGCTTTTTTTTTTATTAGCGTGAAGCATGAGCTATTGATAGTAGAGACGTTAAACAACAGAAACACTGAGGGCGAGCAGCACGCCTACCATCCAGGAAGGCTCCCTAACCTCTAGAGGTGCTCCTTGGCAAAAACTCCATGGTTCAGAGATTTTAATTAGATCTAATTCTCCAGGTGACCAGCCAAGCATTTAAAGGCATACCAATTTTTCAGTTGTGTCCGTTGCTGTAAGTGCTTTTATGATTTATTTTAGATAGGTGTGACAAAAGAACTTGGATATCCCAAACTTAACGTTTTCCTTGAATGGCACTGAGCGCTCTCCAGCGCAGGGGAGTCTCCTTTTGGTGCAGTTATACTCAGAAAAGTGCCAGCCTCCAAACTTGTTCTGCACTTACTCTGGTCTCCCTTTCCTGGAGTAACTTGCATATGAAATTTGGTCAAGTTTTTGGATCAGAAGTTATATTTTCTGAGTGTCAGATTTGCCAGCTCCTCCTTGGGGTCTGGAAATGCAGCTGTGGTTTCTTTGCTTCTCATTTGCGCTGGTCATGGAGCTGCAACATTGAAAACGTGCTTGACAGCGTGGCTGATGATGTGCCAGGCAGAGCCGAACCTCCGCCCCGTGCCTTCCCCTAGAAAAGCTCAAAGCAGAAACAAGTGCAACCCAACCATACACAGAGAAAGGCAGAGACCAAAGCTGTCATCGCTGGAAAAACAGAGGTGGAAAAAACCCTCCTTTTCCCTCTCCTGCCTCGTTTGCAGCAGAGCCTGGCATGGCAGGAGGGCTGTCTGTGCATCTCCTGTAGCAGCTGGATGGACTTTGGGGATGCACAGGGCTCTGATCACAGCCCTGCGGGCTGTGCTCGTGTTGCCCAGCCTCTGCAGAAGGTTTCGTGCAGTTGTGGTGAGCGTGGCCGCGTTCAGCCGTCCCAGCTCAAGCACCGGCTGTGCCCAACTCGCTGCTGAGGGCACCTTCAGTGACTTTGGTACGTGTATTGCTTCTCACTGCTGCATTTCCTCGCTGCCTTCTGGGTGTCATGTCTCTGGACTCCCAAAGGAGTCTAATCACCAGCCTGGCTTATGAATCTTGGAATCATAGAATTGTTTAGGTTGGGAAAAGACCTTTAAGATCACCAAGCCCAACCGTTCCCCTAACCCTGCCATCCCACCCCCAAACCCTGGCCCTAAGCACCTCATCTGCCCAGTTTTTAAATCCCCCCAGGGGTGGGGACTCAACCCCTTCCCTGGGCAGCCCCTTCCAGTGCCTGACAGCCCTTTGGGGGAAGGAATTTTTCCTAATGTTTTTTCACAATCCATCTGGGCCAAAAGGAGACGCAGGATTCATTCACTTCTGTCAGACAGATGTTACTTACCTTTGGCTCTTTTGAGGTGAGGGTCACACTTAGCACGTTACCACCCACTGGGGTGTGTTAGACTGGTCTTCAGCCAATCCCTGGGTGCTCTGGGAGTTGGTTGTCCTCCATCCTGCCATTGTACTCTTCTTCCCATCTTTGCCCTGGGAGAAGTTGCTGAGGCTGGACACGGTGCCGTGATGCTGCAGGGCTGCAGCACTGTCCCTGGGCTGTCCCCAGGCTGGAGGGGCCATAGCCCCTCCGTTTGACTGCAGGTATGGCTGGAGAAGAGAGCAGTGGTTGTCATCTTGGGGGAAATTGTCTCGTGTCCAGGTGTTGCCCGGGGGCAGCTGAAGGTTTGGGGGCTGATGCTGTTTGCCTGCGTTGTCTCCTGACTCTCCAAAATCAGAGCCCAGGCTGGGCCATCAGAGATGCCATTGCTGCTCTGCAGGAAGAGGGGGTTGGCCACATGGGTGATTTCTCACCATGTTGAGGTAGAAAATAATATCCTGTTGCTGCCTCGAGGTCAACCTGGGAATTGCAGTCAGGAACCCACACACCAGATCTGCCACGCCTGAGCCCTGGATGACTTCTAATGGTGCGAGAAGCAAAGCCTGGATGGAGCAGGGAGGGTTGGAGAGATTGCCCGGTCGGTTGACATAAATGAGCTTAGTGCTTTGCTGTATTTCTGGGAGCGATAGGTTTAATTCAAAGCTGCTTCCTGCCCAAGCCCATTTATCTTCTGGTTTTAGTTTTTTATGACCCTGTCTGCCTCTGTCTCTCTTATTTCTTGGACAACGCTTGGCACTGGCTGCTCCAGCAGCTTTCTGGTAGCACTGAGAGCTGCGGGTGTTCTGCTGCAGCAGGGACGCGTGACCTTTGTCTGGGGGCAGTGCGATTGCTGCTTCAGAGTCGAGCAAAGGCTGAAGCGCTGGAGCTCTTCTTGGGAGCACGAGAGACCCAGGATCAGGATGTAGACAATGAGTACATTGTGCTCTGACTGGGAAAGCCCTGCCAAAGGGGGAGCTTGCAGCATCTGACCTCTCCGCGACCTTCAAAGATGTACTAGAAGTGGGTTTGCAAAGCGTCTGTGTGGCCAAGGTGCCCCTGCCTGGGCAGCCGGTACCCAGGGCAGCATGGAGGGTGGGCAAGGCTTGTCTTCATCTGCCTGCACCTGGGGTAGCTGTTCACATCCAGACCTGAAAATTTAGCTTGTTTTTTGCAGACAAAAGGATGGATTTAGCCATTTGTAGTCCTTGGAGAAAAGCGCTCGATGCGAGAGGTGTGTGGGTGGTGAGAGCAGGAGTAATTTGTGATTCAGAGGTGCTGGGGACAAGCAGGACCTTCCGCCAGGTGAGCTGGAGGGCTGGTGCTGCAGCACAGGAGCATTTAAATAAATCAGCACATTAACAGCAGATGAGGAGCATGAGAGAGGGAAAGCAAGAGACAAAATGAAAGGCCATTAAGGAATAGATGCGATGTGAAGCGAGAGGATTAATAGCTGAGAGGGAAATGCAGCAGGGCAGGGCTCCTTGCCAGGGGAAGATGGGTAGGACGTGGGCAGGAGGTGGGGTGCTGCGGATGGTCCAGCATGCCCTTCCCCAGCTCCACTGCCATCACTTTGGGTTGCATTGGTCATGTGCTGTGTTTGGGGTGGCCCTCAGGGCTCTGCACCTTCTCCATAACTGCGAGCCGTGGGGGGCTTGGGGGGTTTGCTCTGGGATCGGGCTGATGGACCCTCGTTCCTGTCCGCTGCGGGGTGCTGCCCCAGACAGACCCGGCGTCCGTTCCACCCTGCCATGCCCTGCTCTGTTGGTGACCTGCCTTTTGCTTCTCTCCCTGCAGCAACCCCAAAGTCCAGATAGAAGCAATCGAGGCGGGCGCGCTGCAGAAGCTCCTGGTTATTCTGGCTACGGAACAACCCTTGGCTGTCAAGAAGAAGGTGAGTAAGCGGGGATGTACTGCTGGGTAAAGCTGGTCTTGTGCCAAACTCGATGTAAGTGCTCCTTGGGATATTGCCGACATCATGAGAGCGTGGGACCCTGTGCTAGGTGGGCTTTGCTCCCCAGGGGTGCAGGAGAGTGGCCCTGGGTGCCAGATCACCCCAGCAGCGCTGGCTGGCCGGTGCCCCCTGGCCTCCCAGTGCTGCGGGGGCTCGAACATGGGAGCTGACATTTGGAAGGAGCTAATTGCTGGAGCCAGCCCCGTGCCCTGCCTTTGGCGGTGGCTTTGGAGCAAGCCGAGCAGTGCCGAGAGCCCCCAGCCAAATGTGCAGCGCTGTCCGTCGGGGTGGGGGCTTCCTTGCCGCCTCCTTCCCTTCCTCCTCACTGTACTCCCTGGAGCATGAGATCTCATTACCCTCGCTTTAGCGTGTGATGCCACCTCTGTTTACAGGCCGTAAAATTATCTGGCTGCTCCCGAAAACCCAGCCCCACCATTTAGCACGGTGACCTCCTGCGAGAGGGGGTTCCATGGGGCGAGGGAACCACCAGCTCTTATGCCAAGCAGTGGTGTGCTGCCAGTGTTTTAATAAACTCCCACAAACACGTTCCCCTTCAGTCCACAGTAAGAGTTCTCCAGCAAGAGGAGACACGGGAGAGGCTGGGGAACCCCTTTGCTTTTGGCCACGGGTATGAGAAGGTCCTGGCTGGAGAAGAGCACCACAGGGTGCTCCATGCTCAGAAACTCCTCCCAGGAGTGCCTGTGGCTCAATCCGGAGCTCCTTGGGGTGGGGAGGGATGGCTGGGCATGCAGAGGCCCCCACCAGCATCGCTTGAACCCCTGGGAGGTGGGTGCGGGATGCTTCTTTCCGGTGGGCCTGAATGCTTCCCGCTGGCAGCCCCTGGAGAAGAGCAAGTGGGGTGAGCTCAGTATTGTCCACATTCACATGCAGCCTTACGAGAGCTTCCAAGGATTGAACCCCCTTTTCCAGGAGGACAGAGGGTTTTTAATTTCCAGTTCCCATGCTGCGTACGGTCTCCTGAGTCTGTCCAGGCCAGGATCCCAAGGACAGGTTGGTGCCCCAGCCCCTTTCCGCATGGGGCAGCAGCCCATGGCTCCTGCTCCGGTGGGTTTTCCTCCCCGGTGCTCGCAGCAGTAAGGCCAAAAGTGCATTTCTTCCCTCCCCCCTCCTTTGGCCTATGGTTAAAAAAGGGGACAGAAACATCCTCCAGTTCACCAGCAGCAACTTGGAAGATGGAAAATAGAAACAAATGGGACTGGGAAAGACATGGCTGTCAGCTTGGATCTGTCCGTGGAGAGCGGGGATGCATGGTCCACCTCGGTGTGCAGGGGAGCGGGCTCTGCTCGCTGGCAGGTGCCCTGATGAGGATCCCCGTCCCCGCTCGGGCAGCAGCCCTGCCCCGGGCGCCATCAGCCCATCCCCTCTGCAAACCAAGGCTGTCAAAACCAGGAGTGTAAGATTCAGCCGGTTGGCCCCTAATTACCTCCTCGGCAATTCTTCCCTCGGCGTTAACCCCTTGCCCAGGAGGCAAGTGCGGGCGTGCTGGTGTCTCTCGCTGGTGGTGCGTGATGCTGCACCATGACAGACCCTGTTTTGGGGCTGTGTCCTGGGAAACATCCTGATCTTGTCCTCCGGCCATGTGGGTGCGAGGGAGAGGACATTCCCCAGGCATCCAAATCATCCCAAGGGGATCAGGCTCTGCTGAGTGGTGCTGGACCCCCCTTTGCCTCGTCCTTAGCACGTAGCTGAGCTCTGTACCGAGGACTGGTGGGGGCAAACTGTGGGGAGAAGTGATGGCATTGGGTCTGTTCAGGTGCTGGCCACAGGTGCCTCTGGGTTATTGTTCTGGCAAGCAGGGTGGCAGTTTGGGTTGGAGTTTGGGTGGAAGTTACCCAAGTTTGGGCAGCCTCACAGTGCCGGGGAGGGTTGGGATCAGGAGAAAAGGGGACTCTTGGAGATGCCCCCTAGCAAGGAGAGGTTTGAATGCATCTGCTGGGGAGCTCCACACAAATGGGTTGGAGTGTGTTTCTCCTGTCCCCGTGGGATGCCATGAAGAGAGGCTGCACCAAATGCGGTGACCTTGGCCACCGTGCTGATGGACCTCTCTCCCCACCAGGCTCTCTTCGCGCTGTCCTCCATGCTGAGACACTTCCCCTATGCCCAGCAGCAGTTCCTCAAGCTGGGTGGCCTCCAGGTCCTCAGGAGCCTCTTCAGGCAGAAGGGGATGGAGACCCTCCACGTCCGTGTGGTGACGCTCCTCTACGACCTCATCATGGAGAAGGTGAGCAGCCAGGATGGAGGGGATGGGACCTGGCCAGGCACTCCCCACCTTCATCCCCTCACCAAGCCAAAGGGGCCATCGAGCATCCTCGCAGGACGAGGGTGAGGAGGGGCCGATCCAGCATTGGTGCTGGTCTTTGCTGTTGGGATGAGTTCCCTCTGGCCCACAGGCCACTGCTGCGGGGGATGAGTGCCTGGGAGAGCCCAGAGCGAGCTTAGATCCTTATTTTCCATTAAACCACCATCGCCATTTCCACTGAGGGTGTTTAAATAACAAAATGACCAGGACCTGAGTAGGGAAAATAGGCACCGGGGTGCAGTGAGCTTGGCCACGGCGTCCAGCCGCCGGCTGCCAGCCAAGTGCCCGGGAACCGGCCACCCCCGCTGTGCCCCTGCCTGCTGGAGAGACCCCTGCCTGCCTGCACATCCCTCGCTGGAGCCAAGCCCACGACGTTAAGTGTTTTATTTTCAAATACCTTGGATTGCTGCTGTAAATGTCATTTCCAGACCCGTCTTTCCTTGCCATTGCTTGTTGTTTAGTCTGTGCGTTTCTCTTACTCCAGAGAATGGAAATTAAATCCACTTCCACTCAGTTTATAGCCAATTTGCCCTGCAGATTATTGCTGCTGTAATACTTGGGTTTCAGGCACCGCAGAGCAGCGGCTGCGCTTTCAAACAGTTGTTTTCCAGGAGACTTTGTAAAGGTGCAAATTATTTTAGAGGGTCTGAAATCTTATCAGGTGCTGGCTTTAACGTGCTCAGCTATCCTGTCTGTCTGCTCGCATGGAAAGGGAGCGTACGTGGGCATTTTACCCGAACCATTCCCGTTCACTCCTGCTGCACGTTTTACGGCCGCCCCTCCAGCAGCCCCATCTGTTCCCGGCTCTGCTGTGGCTGGGGGCAGTCTGCGGGCCCGGCAGATTCTTGGGTTTATGTTAAAACAATGATTTTTCGCTGCCCTTTGGACAAGGAATGTCATGTATCAATCCCAGCCCCTTCACAGAGGAGATGGGAGAGCCCCTGGTGCCCGGTGGGGAGCAGGGCTGGGTCCGAGTTGGGGGTGGCAGATTTGGGGTGGGCTGGTTGACAGTCAAATAGGTTGTAAATTGTAAAGCACAGTCGGCAGCTCTCTGTGCTGAAGCACGAATTGCCGGGGATCTGAATGGCTTTTTCTGCCACCGCCTTTCCTTTTCACCCCAAATGTTGCGTGGCCAGTGGGGGTTTAGCAGGCAGCCCTCCCAGGGGACTGGGAGAGGGGAGGTCCACTTGGCGTTGGCCCTCCTTGTCCCCACCGTGTCCTGTAAATCAGTGGGATAAACCGGCATGACCAAGCTCCCTGGGACAGTCACCCTGGGGACGGCAGGAGTCCATTGCCAAGCTGATGAACGGGTCAGAGAAAATGTTCCGGCTGCCCTTGGGGACCCACGCGGCCCCTGGGGACAGGGTTGGTCTGATGGCAGCTCCTGGGCATGCTGGCTGCCCTCTCCCTTCCCCAGGGCTGGATTTCTGCTTGCCAGCCTCGCAGAAGCCCTCATCTGCCTTTAGCAGTCCGAGGTGAGCAGCCTACTCAGAACTAATTAGTGAAGCACAGACACAGTAATTATCACAGGGGGCCACCAGCCAAGCCAGGAGTGGCCACCAGAGTCAGGGAGTGGAGCCACTCCACCACCCAAGGTGTTGGGATGGTGGCAGGAGGTTTCCCTGCCTTCCCCCAGCCATGGCACTGCTTGGAGCAGGTCTCGCTCGCTGGGAAGGGAGCCAGCAGCCCTGCCCACCCTGGTCCCTGCCGGCGTCTTTCTGCTCTTGGCACCGTCCCTGCAGAATTTCAGTATTTGGGGTTTTCTGGAGGGGAAGGGCTGGCCATGGCTGGGGGAGGCAGAGATCTTCATCTCTTCCATAGGGCAGCACGAAGCCAAGCAACGATGTTTGTCAGGTGCCAAAGGAGCCTGTCCAACAGCCCAAGGCAGCAGACCCAGAGACTTTACAGGTCTTCTGCTGAGCTTCCTTCCCCTTGAGTCCCCTTTCAGGGCTGTGTGATCCTGAACCCTCCCAATCACCAAGAGTTTTCCAGGGTGGGCAACCAGCCCCTGTGGCCAACTTCATGCATGGGCAACCATGAACCAGGACATGTCGTTGTCTTGGTTTTCCCTTATAAGTCACCTTCCAAGGCAGGTGGTGTGGGATGTACGTCCCGCTCTCCCGCGATGCGTCACCTCCTAGGAGCGGTTGCTCTCTGATAGGGATATTAATCCGTGTTCCACCACTTCCCACAGATGCTGCTTGAGGACTCACAGCACGGAGATCAAATGGAAGAGAAAATCCAGCAGTACCGGCAAGTCAAGCTGGTCCCGGCAGTGGTGGAGCAGGACTGGTGCGTGGTTGTTTCTAACCTGCTGGCCATGCCAGAGCACGACACTCGAGAGAAGGTCCTCAAGACGGTGGGTGTGCTGATGGCCTTCTGCAAGGAGCGGTTCCAGGGGGACCAGGCCCTCAGCACCACCCTCAGCCTCCTTCGCAGTGAGTACGAGGAGCTGGCGGCAGAGGAGCAGAGGGAAGGTGACAAAGATGGCTATTTCAAGGAACTCCTTGGCTCTGTCAATACCATCATTCAGCAATTAAGGTGAGAACAGCTGTAGGTTCAGTTCAATTCCAGATAATTCAGGGCAACAGCGTGAGTTTTGATGGCACCAATGTAAACGCACTTTTGAATAAACTGATGGACTAAATGAGATGCCACCACCGGGTGAGCATGCCAGCAGCTTCGTTATTAAAACCTACGTATTTGGGGACATGTGTTCTTTTGCATGGGTACCGCTGGAAAAATAGCAGTATGTACCTTAGAGGGACGAGGCAGAGTCTCAGCTTACGTGGCCTGTCATCCTCCAGCCGTGGTACCTCGAGCCCACGGGTGAGCGCTCTCAGTCCGTCTGCAGGATTATTTGGGGTGGGAAGGGCTGAGGGATGTGGGACCGTCCTTGCTAGGCAGCTCTGCTGCGCAGAGGGGAGCGGTTGTTCCCGCAGCTCTCACCTGCCTTTGTTCTTGCCTGGCGATGGCCCGCGGTGTGTGTGATCTTTTATTTGCTTTGTGTAATGCAGCTCGGCACTGGGAAAGCACCGTTTGCCTTGGGAGCGTTTTGTGCTTGTACAGGAGGAGTGAGTGGCATTTCCTTGAAGCGCTGGTCGGGGGGGCTCTCCGGAGGGCTCCAGTCCGGCCTTCGCTCGAGCAGGACTACCCCTCGGTCACGCCAGTGTGGCCGTGACCGCCTCCGGGCAGCCCAGCTCCACCAGCCTCTCTGTGCAGGTCAAAGAAGATTACAAGAACCGTATTTATTCATTATTTTGTCTGTTTAATTTCAGTCCAAATCCCCTCCTTCTTCTGAACCCTTTTTTTGGGGAGGGTTTGTGGGGTTTTTTTTAATGACGAGAGATCAGTTCTCACGAGTCCCCTGTAACAGCTAAGCAGGGTGGGATGCTGCAGCGAGCCCCACGGCGCTGCCCTGTGCCTGGGGACAGGGATGTGGCCCCATGTCCATGGTAGCAGAGGTCAGCCCACCCGGGATGTGGGGGCTGCAAAAGCTGAGCAAGCAGCACGGCGGTTTGGGGCGCGCGCTTGTCTCGCTCCCCCTCGGCAGTGATGGCTCTCCTACAGCGGGACGCCGACACAGTTCTGAGAGCTGGCGGCAGCCGGGTGCTGGCCTCGGGCTGGGGCACCTTCCAGCAGTTTTCCTGCCCACCCCTCCTCAAGGGCGGCTTTTGGCAGGGGGGGCAGCAGCTTTTTCTCCATAGGCTTTGCCCAGTGGTGTGACGAGAGGCGAAGGCAGAGCGAGTGTCGGGGCATCCCAGGGCCGGGCTCCAAAGCTTTCAGGATCCCGCCGAGCACCCCTGCTCCCAGCGCGGCGCGGCGGCGATTATTTGTAATTCCTGTGTTCGCTTTCAGGAGTGCTTTCTGGCAATAACAGGTATTTCACTCACTGGCACTCCCACCACCGGCTCAACGGGACCCGGGGGCTGCAGCACCAATGTTAGCAACACAAGTGCTGAAAAATAAATCAAGGGGGGGGAAAAAAAAAAAGCCCGGCTGGTCCCCCACCATCCCCCGTCCCTGAGCCAGGGCCAGCGCAGCCTTGTGGGGCTTTGCCACCGCTGGTGAGGGGCCTTGGCAGGCAGGCGATCGATCAGGCTATTTCAAGGCCGTTAGCCCTTCATGATGCTAAAATATTTCTGGCTACCTTTTACAGCCTGTCACTTGTCACTGTTAAGTAGCGGGGCTAATTATAAATATTGATTTTCCTTTTGTCCTTCTCTTTTTGGGTTTCGATTCAGGCTGTTTTGCTGGGATTAAAAATGATTTTTTCTTTTCTTTTTTCCTTCCCCCCCCCACCCCGACATGCATTTCCCAGCCAGTCCTGCCAGGGTTTTGCTTTGTAAGCTATAAAAAAAATTAGCTATATCTGATGGCAATAGCAAGGGCGAGCTTGGGAAAGGGCTTTTCTTGCAGGAAGCCTGAACCCCTGGAGCGATGCCGTGGGGAAGCAGGGCCTCAGCCGGGGAGCGGAGCTGGCACACAGGGTACCAGAGCGTGGATTTCTTCAGCCCTGCCTGGCCTCGTTGCTCTTTCACGGCTGGCGTTAACCAGGTAGGGAAGGTTTTACACCTATGTAAGGGCTGAGCAGGGAGAAACCAGCGGTAGCAGCGACCCAGCCCTCCCTGTTCAACCCCCAAAGTCAAACCCCCTCTCCCTAGTCCTAAAAGTCTTAAAAGGGCAAAGGTCCTGAGCAGCACCTCGCTGGTGTGGGTGCTGGGTGACGGCTGCGCCGGCCCAAGCTCCTGGTGCCCTCAGGGTCAGGGCTTTGCTGCCCAGGGCCGCTGCCGGGTTGCTCCCAGCCAGCGAGGGCTGGCTCCAGGAGGGAAAACAGCCGGCAATTCCTTCTGGCATTTGCCGGCCCTATTCCTCCTTGCTCTGTAGCAGCAAAGCTCCCGAGGCTGCAGCTGAGTTGCCCTTATGCCCACTGGCAGCTTCCCTCGCTCTGGCAGTGATGCAGCCAGGGCCGCACATAATATTAAAAGGAAGCAAAAAAGAAATTAAAAAAAAAATATATATATATCCTGGCCTTGCTTGTCCGAAGCCATTTGGAAGCTTTGCTGAAGGCAGTGGGGGTGCAAAGGCTTTCTGAGGCCTGTGACACCTGATGCTCAGTGACCTTTGCAGCCAGCAGCTGTGTCCAAACCCTGCATCCTCCCTTCCCAAAGGGCTCCAGGCTCTGTGCCGGAGCCGGGTTGGGGGGGGAATGGGAGCCTGGGGCACCCCTGCAGCAGTGCTGGGCTTTGCTGGAGCAGCTCCTGCAGAGCATGGCAGCACCTTGACCCTGGGGCCAAGGCTTTTTGGGGAGCCAGTTCCACTTGGGGGGGGGAGGAGGGCAGGGGGTAAGAGTTTGCAGCCCCTGGAGTGCACTGCTAGTT